TGTCTCTTCCTCTCTCGTCCTCCCTCTCTCTTTCTCTCTCTCTCTTCTCTCCTCAGTCTCGTTCTCTCTCCCTCTCTCTCTTCCTCTCTTCTCTCTCTCTTTTCTCTCTCTCTCCTCTTCTTCCTCTTACGCTTCTTTCTTCTCGATCTTTCTCTCTCCTCTCTCTACTTCTACCTCTCTATATATTTATGTCTTTCTATCTATCTATCTACTTCTTCTTTTCTTTTTCTTCTTTTTTTTTTGTCCTCCGATCTTTGCTAGGGTGTTTAATGGGTGTTTGTGACCTCCACTGATTAATCAATGGTGCATTGAGCTATCCAGGTCATTTTGGTGTCTGACTGAACTGTGGTCCTGACCTTGGGAATTGTGGTGCACTTCATCTAACTCGGTTTTCTGAACTGACTTGGGCTTAGATCTATGAAATACTTCTATATAATATGATATGATGATGACCTAACCATTTTTGTTTCACCTAATTTGACTTTTTTTAATCAGATCAAAAAAAATCTTCAAAAGATGGACAAATCATTCATTCAATTATTCATAATCAAGTCTTGAAATTATTCTCATTAGACAGAAACGAACACACGACCACCTATCCCCCCCTTTTATCTTATCTCTACCTCGCTCCCGTATTTTACTAGGGCAGCGAGGAACAGATAAAAAGTTCATTAACGAATAATAGAATGAAGTAGATAGGAAAACAGACTGATAACTGGAATTAGTAAGTGAAAAAAGCACATACAAGCCAGCGAACAGATAAGGACAGATAAGAAATACAATAGCAGTTTTATACAGATAAAGTAACACATATACACCAGACGATACAACACAATGATGACTTATACAAAATCATTCATATCAAACTGCATGTTTTATTACACTAAAAATATCTATATATGTCGATAGTCTGAAGAAAATGTCTCTATATAAACATATATAGTATATATATATATATATTATATATATATATATATATATTATATGTTGTGTGTGTGTGTGTGTGTGTGTGTGTGTGTGTGTGTGTGTGTGTGTGTGGTGTGTGTGTGTGTGTTGTGTGTGTGTGTCTATCATATATAGGATAGATAGATAGATAGATAGATAGTAGACAGATAGATGATTTATGTAGATATATATATTGTAGATATATATATGTTATGATTAGATATATGTAGATGTATATATTCATGTGAGTATCTGTCTATCTATATATTCTATATATATATAGGTACACACACACACACACACACACACACACACAACACACACACACACACACACACACACACACACACACACACACACAACACACACACACACACACACACACACACACACACGACAATATATATATATATGTAATATATAGATATAATATATTATATATATTATATATATGTGTATATATATACATATTGTGGTGTGGTTTGTGTGGTGTGTGCTGTGTGTGTGGTGTGTGTGTGTGTGTGGTGGTGGTGTGTGGTGTTACATATAACATATGTACGGCGTATACAATATATATATTAGTAATATATATATAATATATATATATACCTACGATATGTAGTATATAATCTATAGTATTAGCGATACATACAGTATATAGTTATATATATATATATATAGTATAATATTACATACATACACTCTATATAGCTCATAGTATATATATATTATATATATATATATATATATACCCATACATATATATATATATATATACCATTACAATATAACGCTTATCTAATATGTGATAATATAATATATACTATATATGTATATATATTAATATATTATAATATATTATGTGGTCATAATAACTATATTATATAGTATATTATGTATAATACACTACTATATAACACATATATAAGAATGAAGTGTGGTGTATTAATGCTATAATGTCACTTGTGGTCATCTGAGGTGCTCTCGTTCCTCCATTAATTACCATAATGGCAAAGGACTGAAATCATTACTTGGCAACCGAAAGGATTATGGTGTGAAATGCGCTATGGTGGAATTGTTTCTTGGATTTACCAAAGCCTCTTCGTTTACTTGGTATGTGTTATATACTCTAGTCTTGTCATATAGTTTCTCTCTCTCTATATATTTTTCATCTCTCTTCTCTCTCATCTCTCTTCTTACTCATCTCTTCTTCTCTCTCCCTCTCTCTTTCTCTATAGTATATACATAATAGTTATATATAGTGTATATATTTATTGTGTGCTGCTGTGTTCGTCGTGTGTGGTGTGTTGTGTGTGTGTGTGTGTGTTTTTTTTTGTTTTTTTTGGTGTGTGTTGTGTGTGTGTGTGTGTGTGTGTGTGTGTCTGTGATATCTACATATACGTTATGTGTTTTATAATGCGTGTACACATCCACTCCACTACGTGCTCTGCCCGTGACTGTCTTTTATCCAACAACTCTGAAGGTTGACATATTTTCTAATCTGTCTTGAAAAGCCTTCATTAGAGATAAACGTTACGTAAAACATAATATAAGAGTTTAATGCATATCCTTTTTATAAAAATCATTTCCACAAACATCTTAAATAATCCGTATATTATTTCTTGATTTATTATTTAGAAAAATATATTTCCATAACATTAATACTGCTGATATCACTACCACTAGCACTGATACTACAACTACTACCAACACTTATAATACTGATAATAATAATAATAATAATAGTAATGATAATAAGGATAATGCTATTATAACCATATCTTATCATTTTGAATATTAATGCATAAAAACTATATTACGTTATCATTATCAAAGGCAATAATAATAGTACAGACATCAGCATTGCCATCATATCAATAACGAAACCACAATAAAAATGAATTGCCATCATATCAATAACAAAAGCCACAAAAAAATATTAAAATAATGAAACAAACAAACTACCACAAACGGAGAAGAGGCTACTACGACCTGAGACGAGAAGCGAAGAGACGA